TGTGTGTGTGTGCGTGCGTGCGTGCGTGCGTGCGTGTGTGCGTGTGTGTGTGTGTGTGTGTGTGTGTACTTGTTTCTGCTACAGAGTGAGGATCATCCTATATTTTTAACCAAGTGAGGTCATTTTTGGGAAGTGTGGACATTTTCCGGTCTTTTCTTGCAGCTCTACTGCACTCTACTAGTTAGGTTTAGAGGTATGTGTGAATTAAGTTTTGGTTAAGGTTAGGAACAGACTAGTAATGGTTAGGGTTAGGGAAACGGTTTAGGTTAGGCATAAATACAAAAATAAAAGGAAGTCAATACAAAGTCCTCTGTTTGATGGAAATGATGTGTGTGTGGGCAGCTAATCTCTATTATAAGTGGACAATTTTTGGCATACACACCCAATTGTGGGGAGCAACTGGTACTTATTGGGACCTAAAATGAGTTCCCATGTGGGGGAAATGTCATTAATGGGTTGAGGGTTAGATTTAGGGTTAGATATGCATCTGTGAGGTTAGGTAAGTTAGGCTGTAGAAATGAATGAACTTCAATGCAATGTCCCCATAAAGATAGCTGTATTAGACCATGTGTGTGTGTGTAATGCATGTGCATCATGGCGGTGGGGAGCAGACTATCTTTTCATGATTTTGCTGCGGGAGCACCGTGTTGCCATGGAGACTGCATCCAGTGCAGCAGGAACCACAGATGGCTGCTCTCCCTTTCTCCAAAAAAAAAAAAAAAAAAAAAAAAAAAAAGTCCAGTTAGCTTCTTATTCCTGATCTTACAAAAATAAAGGGAAAAAAGGGAAAAAAAAGGGTCCTGCTGAGTTTGTAAAAAATAAAAAAATAAAAAAATAAAAAATTCTTTGTGTAAAAACCAAATCTCTGACTCAGCATGCTGAAAAAAGTCTTTCCGTGGAATAATCACAAAAGCGCAGACATGACACGGCGCTGTCATGCATAATTAAAGCAGCTGTGTTTAGATAACGCTCTGAGAATACAAACGTATCACACAAAGCCATCCACTTTAGAAAAGTCRCTTCTGCTGCAACCCAATCATCACAGGCTGATTGTGATTACAGCTCAGTGGAGTGTGCATGTCCTGCATATGAATACACACTGATGCTTGGAGCAGCTGAGGCAGTGTAAACACACACACTCCCTCCAAACATCAACCCTCAGACTGACGATTTTACTGCCAGACAGTTTGTTTTAAAGCTGAACATAAACAGCAAAATGGAGGAGGAAAGTTGGGAAACTCCTTATATCCATCCATCCATCCATCCATTTTCTTCCGCCTATCCGGGGTCGGGTCGCGGGGGCAGCAGCTTCAGAAGGGAGGCCCAGACCTCCCTC